ATCTACACATTCAATGCAATCCCAATCAAAATTGCACCAGCATTCTTCTCGAAGCTAGAACAAGCAATTCTAAAATTTGTATGGAACCACAAAAGGCCCTGAATAGCCAAAGTAATTTTGAAGAAGACCAAAGCAGGAGGTATCCCAATCCCAGACTTTAGCCTATACTACAAAGCTGTAATCATCAAGACAGCATGGTATCGGCACAAAAACAGACACATAGACCAATGGAAAAGAACAGAAACCCCAGAGCTAGACCCACAAAAATATGGCCAACTAATCTTTGACAAAGCAGGAAAGAATATCCAGTGGAAAAAAGACAGTCTTTTTAACAAATGGTGCTGGGAGAACTGGACAGCAACATGCAGAAAGATGAAACTAGACCACTTTCTTACACCATTCACAAAAACAAACTCAAAATGGATAAAGGACCTGAGTGTGAGACAGGAAACCATCAAAACCCTAGAGGAGAAAGCAGGGAAAAACCTCTCTGACCTCAGCCGCAGCCACTTCTTACTTGACACATCCCCAAAGGCAAGGGAATTAAAAGAAAAATGAACTATTGGGACCTCATGAAAATAAAAAAGCTTCTGCCCTGCAAAGGAAACAATCAACAAAATTAAAAGGCAACCAACATAATGGGAAAAGATATTTGCAAATGACATATCGGACAAAGAGCTAGTATCCAAAATCTATAAAGAGCTCACCAAACTCCACACCCGAAAACAAATAATCCAGTGAAGAAATGGGCAGAAAACATGAATAGACACTTCTCTAAAGAAGACATCTGGATGGCCAACAGGCACATGAAAAGATGCTCAACGTCGCTCCCCATCACGGAAATACAAATCAAAACCACACTCAGATATCACCTCACGCCAGTCAAGGTGACCAAAATGAACAAATCAGGAGACTAAAGATGCTGGAGAGGATGTGGAGAAATGGTAACCCTCTTGCACTGTTGGTGGGAATGCAAATTGGTGCAGCCACTCTGGAAAACAGTGTGGAGGTTCCTCAAAAAATTAAAAATAGACCTACCCCAGCAATAGCACTGCTAGGAATTAACCAAGGGATACAGGAGTACTGATGCATAGGGGCACTTGTACCCCAATGTTTATAGCATCACTCTCAACAATAGCTAAATTATGGAAAGAGCCTAAGTGTCCATCAACTGATGAATGGATAAAGAAATTGTGGTTTATATACACAATGGAATACTACGTGGCAATGAGAAAGAATGAAATATGGCCTTTTGTAGCAACATGGATGGAACTGGAGACTGTTACGTTAAGTGAAATAAGTCATACAGAGAAGGACAGATTCCATATGTTTTCACTCCTATGTGGATCCTGAGAAACTTAACAGAAGACCATGGGGAAGGGGAAGGAAAAAAAAAATGGTTAGAGAGGGAGGGAGCCAAAACATAAGAGACTCCTAAAAACTGAGAACAAACTGAGGGTTTATGGAGGGTGGGAGGGAGGGGTGGGTGGGTGATGGGTATTGAGGAGGGTACCTGTTGGGATGAGTGAGCACTGGGTGTTGTATGGAAACCAATTTGACAATAAATTTCATATTTAAAAAAAAAAAAGAAATTTACATAAGAGCATACAAATTAATAATCTAGCCCCTATGAGAAATGAACAGAAGGAATTATTAATAAGTTAGTTATTAGTACAATTAATATTTCCAAAGTAAGTTATACTTTATTTTTTTTCTAAACATTGTAATTTTCCAAACACAGCATTGATTTTTACGGCTGATGGGAAAGAGCACTGGCTAAGTCGGAGGTGCCATTCTCCTTATCGGCCTGGACAAAGTGGTTGTGAAACCTAGACCAGTCTTCCCATTTCTCTGGGCCTGACCCTCCTCACCCGGCCTCATTTTCAGACAAGGGGGTCAGACTAGATGATCCCTAAGAGTGTCAGAGAACCATGTTTCTTGCAAGAACATTATCTAATCCTACCTCCTTACAGGACTTGATTCTCTGCAGAATGATGACAAGGGAACAAGGTTCAGAGCGTTCAGTGACCGAATTGAGGTGAGCCACACTAAGAGCCCCAGGTCTTTGGCCTTCTGTCCCCCAGTCCACTTCTGTCTACCACTCCTCACCGCTCTGTATTTATTCTTTAATGAGTCTTTAGTCTATGAAATCATTGAGAACAGTTTTCAAAAATACACATTGGAAATCTCAGTAATTTATGAGAAATTACCATGGCTTTTAACTTGAAACATTGCAACTGCTGTTGTTGTGAAGTCCTCTTTGTATTTAGCTTTAATTGTCCATGAACCGTATCTGTGAAAGAAATACATTTAAAACTTTAAGTATCACCAAGTAATGTATCTCTAACTCATCCAATGACTGTTGGTAACATTCAAATGAGCACTTAGTAAAGGCCAAACACTGTTTTAAGAGCTTTACATGGATTAACTCATTCAATCCTCAAAAAATACCATAGAACAAGTTATATTATTATCCCCATTTTATCATCAGAGAAATGAGGCTCACAGAGGTGAAGTAACTTACTCAGGGACACAGAGCTAGTAGGTGGTGGGACTGGGATTCAAACTTTGTTACTCTGGCTCCAAAACCCTTGACTACAACTTCATGTTTAGACAACCCTGACAGCAGTTTCAGATTTATGCACCACCTAATTAATATACTATTTTTGAAAGACGTTTTAAAATTATAAACAAAAATATGCATTTTGGGTGGAGTTGTAAATATATTGAAATTTATTTTCATATTACTGACTCACTCTCTAGTATATCATAGTATTTAGCTAGAAAATGTTTTTCATTTAAAGGCATTGTTTTTTCATTTGATGAACCAAGCTTAAAGTTTAAACATATTAATATATGTTACACTATATAACATGCCAGAAAGTCAAGGGTACACTTCTAGGACCATTTGATCAGGTGAAACTTATCAAAATGGTACAAATATATAGTTTTGAAAATTTTACAACTGAGGCCAGAGTGAAATTCCTTTTAGAGGGACAGTGTGGTAGAAGGAAAGAGTACGGATGAACCTGGCCAGAGAGATCTGGGTTCCCATTTCAGGTCCACCATTTAAAGTCGGGTGGTTTTGAACAAGCCTAAACATTTATCTGAGCCTTAATTTCTTTATCTTGAAAATGGCAATAAGAAAGAACTTAGCAGAGTGCTTGGTACACAGTAGAGGATCCATAAATGTCAGTTCTTTTACTGCAGTAAAATACCGCTTTGAGGTGTTACATTTTCAAGACGTTATGCAATGTAACTCTCAAATTGGATTTCAAAATATCTTCCAAGTTCTGGGAATAAATGTCAGAGAAAATTCCAAATCCACTGTAGAATATTAAACACATGTTAGTGGACTTCTTCCTTTTGTACATTTTTTTTCTTTCTTCTATTGTACTCTCAGCATTTAGGGGGTAGGGTCTGTCTCGCACAGTGTCTACTGCCTGGACTTTGTTGTAAAAGGTGCTCACTGAACTGAATACAGCAGACTAGCTTGGTGCTTACAGCTGGCATTATTACATCAGGCCCCCTTCCTCAATGCACAAGAGCCCAAGCAGGCTCCACCTTCCTTTCTGTTGGAAGGATACTCAATAGTGCCTGATAAGGATAGCCAGAACAAATCTTTGTGTACACCAGCACCTTTCAGTCACATGTAAATGGTTCCATAGACTGTTCAATTACCCCAGACACCTCCACTGCTTTTAAGAGAAACAACTTTACCCCAAAATAAGTTAAAATACTTAGGATTCCATGAAAATCCACTTGTTTTTAAACACATTGCCCTTCACTTTCATGTAAGAAGATACCAAGAAATAAAACACCTTCTCTTATGTCTGTACATAGTGGTCTCAGCAACTACACAGATCAATTATTCAATAAAAAAAACCATTATCTGCATAAAATAAAATAAAATAAAATAAAATAAAATAAAATAAAATAAAATAAAATAAATACTTAGGATTAACTGGAATCTTGAAGTCAGGAAAAGTGATAATTCCAGTATAATTTTTTTCTCCTACCATGGCAACTTCTGACCCTGCTGGATCCTTTGAGTGAAAAGAAAAGCAAGTTTTATTTTTTAAAACAACTATAAATACAGAAGTTACACATAAACATGACATGCGGTTGACAGTCTTATAGAAATATTCAGTAAATGCTAAGGAACTTTGTTGAAATTAAGCACATGCAATGTTGGCCTGGTATTGAGGTGATGACACCTGGTCAGGCTTGTTAACAAAGACTAACTTCTAAGGCACAAAAACATATTTTGAACAGGTGTGTAAGTAGTATAGTAAATATTTAAGATACATTAAGCAACTCCCAGCAAGGCTTTTTTTCCACCACCCTTCTTCCTGAACAGGACTTGTGGATAATCTTCAAACACTATTTTCATAATGTTGTGCCATGCGCACAAGGCTTCTTTGGCTCCATGTTTCTTCAAGATCAAACCTGAAAACATCAGGGCATGCCAAAGCAGCAGCCTCTGCCTGTTCAATGTCTTACCTCCAGGGGGACCTCTGACAAGAGAATGATGGGATTTGTGAAGAATCTCAACAGGTTCACTTGAGTCTGTCTGTCCCCCCACAGGTCCCCAAATGTAAAATAATGCTTCATTGTGGTCACTGTCTCTCCCTAAAGTGTTTCTGGGTCAGTCTGCTGTGGCCAAGCCACTGTCATGGTCATCTCCACATTGTGCTTCTTCCTGGCTCCATGACATCTGAGACATCATCCCACTTCTATCAAACCCTCTCCACGGTTTCCATTAAAACCAGCGCAGGACCAGGCTTTGTCCTTTCAGAAGTCCCTCTAGAATAATTTAGTAATCGTCTCTAGCTTTGCCTCCTGTTCGAGCTGGCCTGTTATTGACAATACATTATCCTTTACTTAGTTTACCATATTATGTATGCTTGTCAGGTTGGCTAAACTCAAATATCCACAGAAAGACACATCCCATAATCCCCCAAACAAATCAAGAGAGCTAAGTGCTAAGGTTCTGGAGACAGACAGACCTGGGTTTGAATCCTGATTCAACTCATTAGTATCAGTATGATCTCAGTGGTTACTTAACTTCTTTAACCCTCAGCATTTTCTTCCATAAAAAGGAAATAATTATATTGATTGTATAAGACTGTTGTAATGATATACTGCATGCCATGCACTTCTCAAGGTACCACAATTTATACTTCTAGAACCCTCACTACATCTGCCCATGCTTCTTCACAGATGGCAAGAGGATACAAACTAATTAACTACATCCACTTTGGAGATGGAGTCACTAAAGGGTGTTTTTTAATGGGGCCATATAAAATATATTTCACTATTTAATTTATACACAAAAATTAGCAATCAGGATAAAAGAAGCATAAGATTACCAGGTTGCACCCACAACAGGTGCTAAATAAATGCCTGCCGCTATACAATACTGAATAAATTAATGCCACATTGACTTGTGTTATAGTAAGGAAAACTATTCATATAATGAAAATGCCAAGGTTAAAATTTGATTTAAATTAAAGGCATACTCACTATAAAAGTTATGGTAACTTCTCTTTGTGATGGCTTTAAGTCTTCGTCCAATGAATAAATTCTAACTTTTACTACAAGAAAAAAAAATTTTCATTATTAGAAACTCTGTTCAACTCTTAAATGCTCTGACAATATCATTAATAACCCTATAACATGAGGGTCATGAAATCTATTTTAAAATTTAGAAACCCCAAACATAAAATCCTAGTTTAAAGGAAAAGATGAATTAGGGGTGTCTGGTTGGCTTAGTCAGTAGAATCACGTGGTTCTTCATCTCAGGGTCGTGAATTCAATTGAAGTCCCACTTTGCGCATAGAGCTTACTTTACCAAAAAAAAAAAAAAAAAAAAAAAAAAAAAAAAAAAAAAAAAAAAGGAAAAGATGAATTAGAATATTGGATGTGAACTTTAAAGTGAAAAAATAAAAAAAATGTTCTTTTACCAAAAATTTCCTGAATGGGTTCTTTTAAATATTCCTCTTTATGTACTTAAGATATGATTCAACTTACTATTTTCACTCAAACTTTTTAATTTTTTATTTCTTTTTAGTTTATTTTTATTTATTTTGAGAGACAGAGCAAGCAGGAGAGGGGAAGAGAGGGAGACAGAATACCAAGCAGGTTCCATGCCGTCAGCACAGAGCCTGATGAGGTGTTCAAATTCACAAACCATGAGATCATGACCTGAACGGAAATCAAGAGTTGGACACTTAACCGACTGAGTCACCCAGGCGCCCCATTAACTTTTTGTATTTTTTAACCACTGATAGATAAGAAAGACTGCAGCTCCCTGGTATCTGAAATTATTATAGAAGAGAGGAGGAACATAAGTGGTTAATTGTGTCAACAGACCCAGTGAAGCATTCTCTAACAGAAAAAATGCAGGCAAGAATCTGCATACCTCAAGGTGTAATGAAGTACCTAAATGCATAAGCAGGGGGAGAGTCTCATCTCTCCTTGGACACGCAGTGATTTTTGCAACAGGCTTCCAAGAAACAGCTCTGAGTGTCTAAAGAGCAGTTAATGTGTACTGGCAGGGAGCTTGTACTGTTGCTAAAATTATGGAGGTGACCTCCATCCTCGGTCACCTAATTAGCATCATCACCATCGCCATCATCTTTAATGGCAATTCAGAACGCACTGCAGCATTCAATATACCCGTTACTTCACCTGCCTTCTCTCCCTTTAGATAATTTCTAAAAGGGAATTTACTGGAAGAAGACTAAAGCTGTTTCGAACAGAAACACGGGAGACAAACATTGCTAGGTGCATTTTGTAATTTGGTTCACAATTTTCTACGTTAATGTGAAATTGAAATTCTATTCGTAAAAGAAGAGGATATTGAGAATAAACATGAGATTGTTTTCAAGTTAAAATTCAGCCTCTTGTATTAAGTTCTATAATATGTCACTTCAAATTAAAAAAAAAATTTAAAAGGAGACTTGGTATCATTCTAAGAAAGGTCTTCCTTACCTCCAAATTATATTCATATTTTGCTGATTCTTTGTTTTTATAATGTAAAATTTAACCTTTAGTTTGTCAACTCTAGTTTTGTGTATGGTATAAATTTGGGAATTAATTTCATCCCCCCCCCAAAGATAAAATCCATTGGTCTCAATACCATTAATTAGGTCATCCCACTTTTTTTCCCCCAGAAATTAAGATTCCCTCTCTATTATACCTGACTCATCTGAATTGTAAACAGACTTGTCCGTCTGAATGAGGATAAATCCATTGTCATAGCGGAGTGGAATTTTTGTTGCTTTTGAAAAATGATCACATACAACTTCTAAATACACATATGAAACTGCATTTGGTCCTCCAGATAAATCTTTTGGTTGTATCTGTTTAAAAACAAAGTTAAAGAAGGAATATTATATAATAATCTTAAGATAATAAAAGCATTTATCTTTTAGGTAGCTATGAAAATGAGTTGAATAATTGTTTATTTGTAACAAAAATTTTGTAAAATAAAACAGCAAATACAGAGGTGTTCCTGAAAAAATGTATTTCAGTTTCTTCTCAAATTTAGTTTGAAACAATTACTTCAAAAAATTATCCAGATTTAATGTCTGTTAAAAATGACAATCACTGAACAAAATTCAATTTTTAATAGAACATATCTATTAAAGGGTGAGGAAAAGGGTTGTGGACATGTCTCTAATTTTCCTTGAACGTTGTTCACAAATCTGTTTGAAAAAACTTACTTGATTCAAATCCAAACTGAAAGTACAAAAAGCCTATGATAGGTATATACTTTAGGAGAAAATTAATTTTGTAGAACAAAGAGGTTAAAACGTTGTACATAATTCAGGAAAACAAATGTTCAAATTGTTCTCCGTTCACTTCTTTGAGTTTTTTAGATCAACAGAGTCAAATCTATGTCTCTGTTTCTCTTCCTCTTATTTTTTTCCTCTGAATATATAAAATTTAAGTATTTAATTATTTCTTTCTGGTGCAGTTTATGCGTGGAGGATACATTACAAGACTAGGTGCCTGAAGCTGTGGATAGTACAAACTCTATAAATATTGTTTTTTTTCCTATACATAATACCTATGATAAAGTTTAGTATGTAAATTAGGCACAGTAAGAGATTACCATAACTAATAATAAAATAGAATTATAACAATATACTGTAATAAATGTTATACACACGTGGTCTCTTTTTCTCTCAAAATATCTTACTGTACTATACTCACCCTTCTCCTTGTAATGATGTGAGATGATAAAATGCCTATGTGACAGGATGAAGTGAGGTGAACGACGCAAACACATGACATAGTGTTAGACAACTATTGACCTGATGATACGTCAGAAGAACGACCATCTGCTTCTGGACACCATGGTTCACCATGGTTAACTCAAACCACAAAAAGTAAAAAACAGCTGATGGGGCGGGGG